TGGTTTTTTTAATTAAAAATGTTATTAATGCAACTTTTTATTGTACTAAGTTATAGATGATAGACACATATTAAAGATTTTTTTTTTATATTAATAACAATCGTGTTTCTAGTCGTAATATTTATAAGTCTAATAATTTCTATACTTTGTCCATGCGAAATTAGCAAAAATAGTTAATTTATAATACTCTATGTCTCTCCTAAATTTCATACCGATCTGCTCAGCCATTTTGGAGATACAGTCTAACTTCATTCATCCATGTAAACTTTTATAATATTAGTAAGTTCAGTAACGCATTTACAGTGGTAGAGCGAGCTTTAACATCATCGCACGAATTGTCCCAACTCGCTCAGTGAAATACCACGACCACACAGAAGACAGGCGTCAAGTGGAAGCTATTCCGCTGCAGTCTGATGAGTGTGTGTTCTGGAGGCTTAATGTAGTCCTTTTTTCCTTCCCACCCTTTTTCTTATAAGGAAAGGATGGGAAGTGGAAGTGGACTTTCCGGATGAGAGGATGCATGGAAAGGGAAAATATTTTCTTTCTGTGCATCCTCTCCTCTGTCGATTAAAGGTAGGCAAAGCATATGTCTATATGCAATTGCGTATGTCTATGGGCAACGATCACTTCGCTATTTCAGCGATTTCAGGTGACCGCTCGCTCGTTTGCCACCTAATGATATTAAAAAAACGCTCCTGTCTCCATGACTACAGGTTTTTGTTTCTAAAAAAATAACCTAACAATTATGATTCAGGATAAGGAATATCTGCAAAAAAAACAAATATTGAATTATATCAAATAGTATATTTAAAAATTATTTGTTTCCAGGTAGCACATTTGGAACGTACAGGACACTATCTGACGGTAAAGGATAACCAAGTGGTGCAGCTGCATCCGTCCACCTGCCTCGACCACAAGCCCGACTGGGTTATATACAATGAGTTTGTACTCACAACAAAGAATTATATACGCACAGTCACCGATATTAAACGTAAGTATATACTTACTAGCTTAGGAAAACTTTGTAGTCTATGTTCTTCCAGACTATGTTCTACATCTATGTCAAATTTCAGCAAGATCCATGCAGCCGTTCTGGAAATACTTTCTAACAAACATCCATACAACTAAACTATTATATACTATAATATTAGTAAGATTTAAAACATTAACTGTACTTATTTAAGACTAAAATGGGATTAATTTGCATTACGATAGTCTCTTTTTATTCCACAAACTGCTTTCAAAGAGATTCAGTTAAATTTTCTGAAAACATACAAAGAAATAATCGAGAAATGATATAAAAATGTTTCTTGTTATACAAAATTCAATATTTTGCATCTTCCTAATTCAGAATATGAACATTTATGTTGTAAAATTGTTAAAAAATACTTACTTTTTCTATTTTTTCAGCGGAATGGTTACTCAAAATAGCACCACAGTACTACGAGTTGAACAACTTCCCACAATGCGAGGCTCGTCGTCAACTCGAGCTGCTGCAGGCCAGGCTTGACTCCAAGGCCTACCAGGAGGGCTTTTAAACCTAAGTCCGGAAGACCTATACAAGTGTTGAAGTGAACTAGTGCAGTGATAAACTTGAGTGACCTTTTAAATATCAAAATAGTGTCAGTGTAAAGACAATTCACGTATAAAAAAGGTAGGCAGAAAACATAGATTTTGGTGCAATACTAGCACAATTGATAAAGAATGAATTAAAAACAAACACTTTAATTTACATATCGGTTTTTACATACACCTATGTAAATAATAAAGGCAAACAATAATTAAAAACAGCTATTTAGTATTAAAATCCTTACAAAGTTATGTTAATATAGTTAAAGATGCAACGCAAACGGTCATAAATTGATTTTTATTTATTAATTTCCATTTAGATTATTTCCAAAAGCTAGATTTATAACCTAAAAGTCAACCATTCCTAGAACTGTTAAAGTTAAAACATTTATAATGAACTAGCTGTCGCCCGCGACTCGGTCCGCGCGGAATAAAAAAAACAATTGGTTGCAGCATAATGTTATATAGCTTAAAGCCTTCCTCTAGAAATGGACTATCCAACAAAAAAGATTTCAATTTTTTACCGCTACGACATAGGTTCCTTCAAGAAGCGAGCTTATCACTATCTCAAAGGCCAGCAACGCGTCTGCGGTTCCTCTGGTATTGCTGATGTCCATGGGCCTTGTTGAACACCTCGGTGTTCCCGCTGCTTGTTTGCCCCCTTCTGTTATAAAAAAAAATCAGAACAGTAGTTCCTGAGATTAGCGCGTTTAAACAAACAAACTCTTCCGCTTTATAATATAAAGTAAATATGAAATTACAAATGGGACTAAAGTTAGGCGTTTATATTCCCGGCGACGCACCACACGCAAAGCCCGAAACGGATTCTAGTTTGCTAAGTATAAACATAGCAAGGAAGACAAAGCTAATCCGTTAAATCCGTGCGTACTGTACGGACCAATGGACGGTGTTAAGTTGACTAAAATGATAAATAATAAAGTTAAAACTGTATAAGTGAAAATCTAAGGAACTGGAATATTTTTTTCACTTATACAGATTTCTCTCCGAGTTTCTGGTTTACGGAGTTTGTCCATCGGGACTGGATTTATTATCAACAGTTATGGAACAATTTGTTAATGTATTTGGGTTTTAAATTCATTGTCAAGTCTTCTCCATACAAAAATATTATATAACACACATTAAAATTACTGAATATTTTGAAATACATTTTGTATGATAGTTGCTCCATCTGTTGCATAATTATAGTAAAAATTAACAATTTTAGTATGTTTAGAAGAATGCTAGAATTGATTATGTAAAATTAGTATTAAATATTAGCATTTTAAGGGAAAAATCTAGCTTAAAATATGGCTAATACGCTATGGTTTAGGATTTATTAAAGATACAAAAAAAAATGTAAGAAAAGAGTCGGTTTGTCAAAAGAATATGCTAAATAAGCTTTCAAAATATACAAAATGTCTGAACATTTATTTCAAAGATATAATTAAATTTTTTTTTTTATAATTTTCTCTCATATAGATGTTTAGTATTGCCCAAAATAATACATATAAAATTGTATGTTTGTCTTCTAATTATATGGATTGTTTTTTTTATATATTTCCAACATATTAAATATGTCTTTAGCTTATATTTAAAGTTAATAATAATTTCTTGAAGTTTTTTTTCGTAAATCTATGTGTTTGTACTCATTTTTAACTATATTTAGGTAAATACAGTCCAAAACTGATATATAAACACGGCTAAACACTCACGTATATTCGTCCAGTGGCGGCACCGACTAGTTTCAAGCCCATCGGGGGCCCGACATCAGGATGAGTGGTACTGGTGAAGGGCCCCCGATGGGCTCGAAACTAGTCGGAGCCGCCACTGTACAAATATACGTGAGTGTTTAGCAGTGTTTATATATCAGTTTAGTATAATGTCTCATGAAAGTTTGAATAATTTAAAATACAGTCCCATTTGCCGCAGATTCCAATTTCTTTTTGTATTTAATTTATAACATACTAAATAAAAATGTATTTTATTTCCCTTCCCACCTGTTTCTTGTAACGGATTAGATGAGGTGACTATAAGAAAGGGACATCCTCTTTCTGGGTCCCCTCCTCTGTTGATTAAAGGTAAAAAAAGTAAATGCCTGTCAATAGGCATGGTTTTGTTATTTTGGCGAAAGTTGCTACTTGCTTCCTTCCTTCATATAATAAAAAAAAATTGTGAAGAATTTTAACTAACTACAGTTATTTTATTTCTAGTATTTGAGATATTAATAAATTATGTATATAATTTTATTAAATACATGTGTGTTGGTGATTATGTGGTCGAGATGGACCTCCGGTCTCCGGGCAGACAATTGGGCTTTTGATCTCCGGAAATAACTGAAAATTCAAACTGAAAGTTGAAGAAATATAACATAGAGGAGTTTATCAAGACCACTTATATTATAAAAGGTGTCCAAAAAATTATATTTCCTTTGTGTTGTAATTTTTTATTACGAAATCATAGACTAATGCTAAAATGTAACATGGTGGTGTATATCTTTTGCTTTTAACACATGTACTCAACATTTATGTATACTATCACATTTATTTAGTATGTTTTTTAGTTAGAAAATCCTAGAATCCTAGATCTATGACATAACCCCACTACATGTCAGGATTATAAGAAAAGGACATAACATATATTTGTAAAACATTTGTCTATGGTCCCATTTAGCCCCATTTTGTCTGCTGAAGTAGAAACACCATTGCTGTGATGTTCAAAGTAGATATTTCAATCTTTGATAATAACTTTGAAGAGTGTCGTTGGCTCAGAGTTGTCTTGAATTGTAATCCGGTCCTGGGTTCAAATCCCGCCGTGTACCAAGGTGTTTTTCCATTTACCTATGTACATTTAACCTATGCGCATGATGAATATTAGTTAGTGATGCTACACATATCTGTGAAAAACCAGAACTGGGCCAGCATTGACTATGTTCCTAGTCACTGACTTAGGATTGGCTCCGAGACCCTCAGTGGAGATGTAAATGAGCTGATGATGATTTCACAACAGGAAAGAATAATACTAATATCACAGCAGTGGAATCGTATGATGATGTCACACTTTGAATTTTAGTTCTGGAGAAAGAGATAGCGATATTGTTATACAGGTTTTATGACTGTGGAAGCTCATATACGAAATATTAGGACAGTATAGCTATGAAAGGTACACACTAATGTATGTCAACTATTTGATGGAATTAAATGATTTCTGATTAAGTAATATGTTATTTTATTATATACTGTCCAAATAGATGTTTAAAAATAACCTCTGAAAAAAAAATGTTAAAACCTACATCGAAAAGTTTTTAATTCTTATGCATATTTTATTGTACAGATAGCTGGCCCCCTAGACAGTGCTACGTTTAAAGCGATTTCATAACGAATTTAAAATGTATCTAGAACAGACATGACAAATATAGAAAGTTATTGTCAGTTTTAAACTCTTGAAGTTCATTACGAAATCATTAAGGACTGAATACTTGTTGGGGGCTGATATCTGGTTGTGGATTTGTTTTTAATTTAATTCTTATCAAACATATCCAAGCATATGTCTAGTTTAGTTGGTAACAAGGAATATTACGAAAATTACTTTAAAAAAAAACTATGTCTTTAGTAGGAAGATTTGGTGTAATAAAAAATGTAATTAACTAAACATTTTTATTTTGTTAAAACTACATTCTGCACTTTGAACCACATTCACACATTTGGAATTGATAATTTGTTCCGTGTATCCAATGATATGAAAAAATATACTTTTTTTACAATTTTACCTCTATTATTAAAGATGCCTTAAAACATTAACCAATACATATACTTTTTAAATAAAAAAAACCTTTAAATTATTTCAATGAAAATAAATGCAACAAAAAAATTTACTACAGTAATTACGTTGTCCCGCCAAAATGCATTTTGACAGGTGTCAAATCACCATAGACAAACTTGTGCATTTTAGTGAAATTAGAATTCGTCCGGAAATTTTTCTTTACTATTTATAAAAAATATGTTTTTTAAATACAAAAAATAAAATTTTCCTAACCCAAGTATAAATACATGACAGATATAACGTTTTATTTGTGGAAAATTGGAACACATTCTAAACAGTCCGCCACCTCGACGTCACGCACTTGACGTCATGAACTAGACGTCACGTACTAGCCTTTAGCGACACCCACGAGAGCGGGGCGTACACAGCGCTCGTGCAGTTTGTACCCGACCTTGCTGACAGTCACTACTGTGCCGGGCTCAAAGCCTTCCACCTCCTGAAAACATTACAAAATAAAATCAAAACTGGTTATAACACTAGCTTTTCCTCGCAACTCCGTCCGCGCGAAATAAAAAAAAACCTTAGTAAATATCCTATGTTATCTTCCAGGCTATGCTCTGCAACTATACCAAATTTCAGCGAGATCCATGCCGGGGTACTGAAGATAACTTGTAACAAACATCTATTCAACCATTTGTCCATAGTAAGATTAAAGAGACCAGTCTTTAACTTTTAAGAGTCGGGATCAAACGGGCACATTACAATAAGTTCCAAACTTGCTTGTGTGCTCCTTAAGTGTTGGTAAATTTTTACTACATAAACATTTTGCCCAGTCCATTTCTCTATAGTTAAAGGGCCCTTAAATTCAGTCGTAGTAAACAATATGTTTTATTAAAATTCTTTTCACTTTATGATTATGGAAAAAAGGTAAATACAATATTCACCTGTTGGAACAACGCCTCGTGGAGATTGGGGTCGAATTTCTCTCTCAACGGAGACACTGCCACCAAACCATGTCTAGCAAACACCTGAAAAAATATTCAAATTAATTAAACTATTTGTTTACTAACCTGCCGGTTAAAATCACCTCTTTTCAAAGTATCTTACCATTGATTTCTAAGACCATAATCTCTGCCTAAAACATATCTCCCCTCCCACATCAATTTTGACAACAATATGTTTTAATTGAGCATTTTTGTCTCGAAAACCCACAGTTAGAAATATTAACTGATGGTATATTGCGCTACTATAATAATATTTAATTACTTGGTCGAGTTGTGCGCGTGTTAGTCGCAAACCGTCGTGCAGGGAACGTAGCGCAGCCGCTGCACTCTCAGCGTGTGCCTCTGCCCTCTCCGGCACGCTGTCTGCAGCTGCACTTAGTGTATCCGCAACCTAGTATAATTAATAACAGTTAACCATGAAACACAGAAGTGAAGCAATTCCGCCTTCTGTTGAGTGTATATAGGACTGTTCTCAAATTAAAATCTCTTCCCTTATCCAACCCTATAACAGTGAAAACATGGAAAGGGTAAGTGGATTTGATTCAGAAGAGTAGGAAGAGGAAATACACTCTTTCTATACACATCTTTCTACAACTTTTATAGGTAAATAGTTGCAGTTGCAGATCTGATTTTGTTTTAACTTTGTGTAACTTAAAGACTTAACACTTACATCAAGAAGGTCTTTACAGAAGCTCTGTATAGCAAATGACTTAGCGTCTTCAACTTGCTTCATCATACGTCTTCTGACATTCTCTCCGTCTGCTAGAGCTCGCTTGTATTTGTCCTGAAACATGGAAATATTCACCTAATACATAGTTACATAGAGGGGCAATATGTTGGTGGCTACAAGAAAGTTCAACAACTCTTTATTTCATTTCAAATTATAGTTGAAATAGTTTCATAGTTTCTCTACAAATTTTTTGCGAAAATTGTAAACTTTTTCAGTAGAAACACTTTCTCATGGTATATAACATTCACAAAATAATTGACTTTATGTATAGAATGTTTTTTTATTCTTAATTTAAATAATTAAAGGCAATCTACCGCATAGACTATGTAAGTCACAATTCATCCCTTGTTTTATGTTTTTTTTTAATTTACTTGATAAATACTAAATTGTGAGCGACGGGCCGCATCCGCGAATTAATACCAGTATCACTCATCCTGATGAAGGGCCCCCGATGGGGTCGAAACTAGTAGGTGCTGCCACCGGATGCATATAAATGAGTGTTTAGCCGTTTTTATATCAGTTTAGTATAATGTCTCAGGAAAGTTTGAATAACTAAATTGTGTTTTGAAAATAATGTTGAGAACTATGTTTTAGTTGTATGTTCATGTTTGCTGTGTCATAATTGTCTTAAAGATTTGTCTTTGGAAAATTTGTGTTTGAAACATACAATTGTATATGTTGGAGTTATTGAAATTATAACATTGAAAAAATAATCATTTCTCTTTATTGTACTCACTTCATAATCCTTTACTTGTTGTTTTAGTGAGGAAACTTCAGTACTTAATGTTTCAATTTGTTTGTGACAGTCCTCCAATGTTGTGGGCATCTGTTTATCACTTGATGCATCTTCTGCGGCCTTTTCCTCGGTACTGTAGCCTCTGACTGAAGATCTACGGTCAGAAGTACCTTGAATACAGTTTTTCTTGATGTTCTTATATGACATCGTTTTATTGTCAAGATTATTCTAGTTATTGTGGATATACCGTGATACAAAAGTATCTTATTGTTTCATCATAAAAAATTGATTTTCAAATACGCCGCATGATGAAATATTCGAATTTATTGCTTGTTTTTAAAACACGAGCAATGGTTCTATAGTATGAAATTTAGTGAATTTAAAATCTGTATAGTCGTAAATAGTTCATTTTATATGGTTTTCTTTTTTTTTAGGTTGTATAAGTTTGGTTGCGCAATGGTTTACCTGTAAATATTGCCTCTTAATGATCGGAGACTGGAATCTGTTACATATTTTACTAGTCTACCCACTGAATATACTTTTAGTGAAGCCATTTTCTTTGGTGAGATTTAATTTATAAGAATTTGTAAAAAAAAACACGTATGAGGTTATATGTCTTGTCTCGCTAATTCTTATCCTTATCTGTCAAATGTCAAACTTTTTTTTTTATCACGCCAACTGCCATAACTGGCTGTGACGTCCGCACTTTAATAAGTTTTGTCATATATATTTTATATCTATGAAATAGCTATAAAACCTAGCTGCTTACAATTTAAAACTAAAAACAAATTGTAAATAGAAAGAAAAAATACGTATAAAAATAACTAACTTCAAAACAATTAAATTACTCGACCTTTAGATTTTTGCACGAAAAGAAAAATGTCAAAACGGAACGTTTAGAAAACGAATCAGCGAATCACGTCATTTTTCAGTTTCAGGGTTATAATCTGTATTGTTAAGAAAACTAAAGGAAACTAAAATTATACTGAGATTTTTCACTTGTACTTTGCGCGCGCAAACAGTAGCAGCTGGAAAAATTCGCCATAGCTCTATGTCATGGTACCATGACACATTTATGACATAATTTTGGTGAAACATCATTGTCTTTGCAGCTGTGGAAGGTTGCGCGCGCATTTTGAAAAAATGGCGTCTTTAGCAGTATTTGATTTTGATCGTACTATTGTTGACGATGATTCTGATGCTACAATTATCAATAGACTACGTGAAAAAAAACCTCCGCCCGAATGGGAAGCCGGAAACCACGACTGGACACCTTACATGAGCAATGTAAGTTAACTTTTAAGTTTATAACTAACAAAAAAAATATTAATAATACTTAACTCATGCTTTGTTCATGTTTCGAAATTAACTCATTTAATTATCATGTATATTTACATCCATGAAAACCTAGGAAGTAGATAATCAAATAACTATTATTCTTATTTTTTAAATAATCCAATAACGTGATTTTTATCGATAGAAAAAAAAGTTGAATCAATATTTATTTTTTTATAATTTCCTAACATAAAATTTGTTTTGTTTTTTTAAATAATTTGTTTTTAAATGTTAAAGATTTGTGGCTGAGACTTAATTTTATGATTTTAATTTAACTTTACCAATCAGACATTACGACAATAAACCAAGCGATTTTGTTTTTTTCTCCAGTTTTGTATTCGATATTATTTATTTCAAGTTTCCTATATAATCCTAGCTATGTATTTTAATTGCCGAAAACACGCTCATTATATATAAACATACTAACTGTTGCCCGCGACTCAGTCTGCGCGGAATTAGGAAAAAAATGAGCCTTTGTGTTCTTCCAGATTCTGCTCCATATCTATACCTAAATTAAAGCGAGATTCATGCCACCATTCTGCTGAACATTCTAACAATCCATCCATTCATCGAAACTTTCGCATTTATAATACTAGTAAGAACTAGAGTACTTCATACATTTTTGTATGAGCTAAAGGCAGTGGATCCAATCCGGTAATAATAACGAAGTAACGGCCCGAGCCGAGGTTCCTAACGGAGCCCTCTAGATTGGACACTTAAACGAGGTTTAGGCTAAGTGACATCTGCGCTCGGCCACCTCAAGCCCGGTGAAGCTGTAAATGCCTCCTCAAGGCAAACAGTGACAATCAGTCATAGAAAAAAAAATCATGGCAGTGGAAATCGAATGCTCGTTTAAATATGTTTGTATACGTGACTGCGGTCAGAACACGTATGGGAATCGTGTTAATGACGTCACACAATTACATCACGAATTTGTTGATTTTACGTCCATTAATTTATCTTTATTTGTACTTAAAATTCGCTATTAACTTAAAATCGTAGGGCATATTAAAAAAAAGCGAAAAATTTTGAGTTAAGTCATTTAAGTTGAAACTTAATTATATTTTATGTTAGTCCTGGCATTGAGATGAACTTGGCTCTTATCAGATAATAAATCTCGATCAACTTTATCGGTTACTGATAAAGTAGATTAAATTTTACTATGTAATTACCTAGGTAGCCTTTTGACCGCACAGAGAATGATATAAGTCGATTTTTTTATATTAGGTTTCAAATAAACGGGCCACCTGAATACGCGGAAATAGAAAACCGACCGGTGCCCATATACAACCGTAATTGCAGATGCGTTGCCTACCTTTAATCGATTAAGGATAGGAAGCATAAAATGACAATATTTCCCCTTCCTGTGCTTTTCTTGTAAGAAAAGGGTAGAAAGGGACAGAAGACTAAAATGAGTCCTCCGACACGTACACTCATCAGACTGTAGTTGGAATTCCTTTAACTGGACCTTAGGGGGCATCACAAGCGCCTAATCGATTAAGGATAGGAAGCATAAAGTGACAATATTTCCCCTTCCTGTGCTTTTCTTGTAAGAAAAGGGTAGATAGGGACAAAAGACTAAAATAAATCCTCCGGCACGTACACTCATCAGACTGTAGTTGGAATTCCTTTAACTGGACCTTAGGGGGCACCACAAGCGCCCTAGTATATCCGACTTAAACGGTACGGACTTACCCTTACGGTCGCCGCCCTGGGCGTTCGCCCCACCTCGCCCTACCCTTACGTCATACAAAGATCTCTTCCTAACCGCTTTGCACGTGTATTTAATTATGATACTTCCGCGTACAATTCTACGAAGGTCTTGCGTAATATAGCATTTGTTTCAGTCGGTAATTTGTTACACCTATGATGTACGTAGATCGTTCGCGTGTCTATGTAGTGGGTTTCCACTGTTCCATGACCCATAAAAAGTTAGTCAGCTATTTCTTTTGCACTTCTCTTACCTTGTCACAGACATACAGTCGTTGACAGCTTAATATGTAATTTAAAACTTATTAGTAGCCCATGTGTTATATCAGACTATGTTCTAAATCTATGTATATCAGCGTGATCCGTTTTTTTTATAAGAGTAAGGGGCAAACAAGCGGCGGATACACCGAGGTGATCAACGACACCCATAGACATCTGCAACACCAGAGCAACTGCAGATGCGTTTAGCTGGAGATACCGTTTAACTAACTCCATCCAAACTGTATCATCTATTCTGAGTTATTCCAAGAAAGTATTTTTTTTTGCGTAGACATAGAAATAGTTTGATTTAAAACATATTCATGGCCATGGGTATAATTTTGGCTCAGTATCAATACGCTCGAACGACCTTGACTCAATAGAGATCGCGGTTTTCCATCCGCTGCCCTAATTCATAAGCGACAGCGGGTAACAGGAAGTTAGAAATGTCAAAATGCTTATGCTCAAAGGATCTCGATGAAACTGGGCATAGATGTAGAACATAGTCTGGAAGAACACATACTAATTAAGTTTTTTATTATTTCCGCACGGACGGAGTCTTCTGCAACAGGTAGTCTAAAAATAAATATTTCGTCATCAGGTATTCGAACACGCGTATTCAGCGGGTATGCATCCCGATGACATCTTGGACAGTATCGCCTCCATGCGACCCACCCCTGGTATTGAACAGCTGATCACAACATTAGCTGCAAACAAGTGGGATGTACTCATCTTATCAGATGCTAATACCGTCTTTGTCAACCATTGGTTAAAGACTCACGGACTGCAGGTAAGATCTAGGTACTGTTAGGAAGTAAATCAGAAAATGTGTCAGAGTATTGACTCAACATTAGCCTTAAAATGTCGACGTTTACGTCCCCTTAATATTCATTCTGACACTTGACTTTGTAACGAAAGCACGTTATTCGCGAGAAATGATTCTAGCTAATACTGGCTTAAAGTTTTGATTTAGACATGACCTTTTTTAACGCCTTACGCGTACAATTATTGCGGGGACAAGAGTGGTTATGTCAGGCTTGCATCAACCTGTCTTGGTTTTTTGGTTCCAGCTCCTTACTTTCTGGTTAAGCCGCCTTCTCAGTGCCGCGACGTAGATATGACCTAGACCCGTCTTTCCCAAAGTGGGCGCTGCAGGTCTCAAGTTGCGGGTTATAGTAAAAGTTTCATTTAGAACTCTCCGTTAATATACATATATAGGTCACAATAATTAATTAATTTAATTTGAAGTTATAGTGGTTTTTAAATTTGTGAAAATATGGGGGCGCTAAAAAAATATTTATTCTCAAAGTGGGCAGTAGACAAAATAAGTTTGGGAACCACTGATATAGATCCTCATATAAAAATTTAAAATATTATATATTTCGCTTGTAATATTTAAGGAAAATTTTTCCGTGGGTTTCTAAGAATAAAATCTACGTTTAAAACATATTGTTATCTCTGTTTTGTCAAAGATAATGACAGGGATGACGATATGTTGTATACGAATTTTGGTCTCGGAAACCAACTTTAAAGTAAATCGAAAAAAAGGGACGTTTCTTTATTTATAGTACTAGTTTTGGAAAGAATTAAATTACTTTACAACTTTTTTTTCTTATAGTTTACAGTTCTGAACAAATTTACATAAAACTAAGCCATTTTCCTTTTTAATTAGTTTTTTTTTTTAATAACGTTGAATAAGTTTGTTATTAAAGAAATTCTCGTCAGCCAAGATTAAAAATAAAATGGCGAACTACGAAATAAAATATTGCGCAAAAATAGATCGTATTTAAAACAAGCCAAATGACGTCATAGTACTATATTATATGTAAAATATATATGTATGTTTATCATTACTATGTTGTTACTTGTCTTGGGAGAAATAGCTGATTTACAGTATTTATTTATTGTGGAATAACGGTCCCCGGCGATTCCGTCTGGGCGGAATAAAAAAAAACATATTAAGTAGTCTATGTGTTCTTCCAGACTATGTTCTATATCTATGACAAATGTCATCAATTGAAGCCGTGAAGATACCTTTTAACAAACATATATTTAAACATTCGCTTTTATAAGTAAGATTTTCATTACCGGAAAATCTGTACAAAATATACTCTTGCGACTCTTTTGAAGTCGGTTAAAATATATCCTTCTCTCTCTTTTTTATAAGAGTGAAAAGGATGTCAAATATTTTCTAACTCGTTACTTTCTTAAGCGAATGTTTAGATGGATGGATGTTTGTTAGAAGGTATCTTCATAACGGCTCAACAAAAATTGTCAGTCTGGAAGAAAACATAGGCTACTGATTTAGTTTTTTTTTTTTAAATTCCGGTCGGAGTCGCAGGCTACAGCTAGTTGCATAATCTTATATATAAAATTGTCGTGTCACAATTTTCCTTCCCATACTCCTCCGAAACGGCTTGACCGATTCTCATGAAATTTTGTGAGCATATTGAGTAGGTCTGACAATCGGCCAACATCTATTTTTAATCCCGCGCGGACGGAGTCGCGGGCGACAGCTAGTATATTATATTTTTCTCATTTAATTTGCATGTTTTGTACAATGTCATATGTTCAACATGTAATGACATCATACGTTAGTGATATTATGTTAAATGATGACGTCACACCTTGTCATGACGTAAGCATTTGTCTAAGGGGAAGTAACTAGGTTTATGCACTTTAAATATAAGTTCATCACGAAAAGATTTTGTTATACATTTTAAACGACTTCAAAAAGAAAAAGGTTCTGAATTCGTCTGTTTTTTTTTGTTCGTCGATAATTTCAACTGTCATCTTTCAGAATCGATTATCGATAATAATCGATTCGGCAATTGACATTATATTTGGTACAGTCAGCTGCATAAATATGGATAAACTATTTGTTGCTCACGACCCCGTCCGCGCGTAATTAAAAAAACTTAATTACTGGAGTTTATGTTCTACATCTGTACCAAATTTCAAGATCGGTTGAGCCATTTCGAAGATTCATACTTTTCAATACATATACAAGTTTCTAAAGCTATGTGAATGTACACATATTTATGCAGCTGACTTTACTTGTGCTCATAAATATTTCCATCATCTCCAAGACTCCGACATCTCGAAGACTCTGACATCTCAAAGAATTTGCTACATTACATTAAATTTACAAAAAGGACAGAAATAGGGTATTTTACTTAGTAAATGTCCCCTCAACCACGGACTCCAATTCCCCTAAAAAAGGTAAGAAGGAGAGTATTTTTATTTAACTATTGTTATAGGACGCAGTGACCGCTGTAATTACAAACAGGGCATTCTGGAAGAACGATCGTTTGTATATAGAGCCTTGTATGCATCAGTCGACCTGTCCCCGTTGTCCGACTAATCTCTGCAAGTCGATAGCTCTAGGGAAATGGTGTCAGAAGCCGTACGCTAATATTATATACAGCGGTGATGGCAGAAATGATTTCTGTCCTGCAACGACATTACCACCTCATGTAAGTATACGTTCATCTCCTTACCAACCTTCACTGAATAGGAAGCAAGTTTCCGTCCTCCAGAATGATTCACCTTCGTCATCACAGTTGTATATGTAACTCAAAATTGTGAATAACGTAATCTGATTAAGGTACTATAAAAGCTGGATGACGACAAAAAAAAATTGACCATAACATCGAGTTTCTTAAATTTCAATCACAAGTTGCAATTAATCGATTATAAAATGGTTTTTACTTATTACTATTTGGTGTATACTGCCGAAAACGTGTAACTTGGGGGTTGGTAGATGTTCGACTATCCCAACAAATCCAAAAAATATAAAAAAAAGATATATAAATGACTTCAAATTACTAAGATAATTCCCATAAGTCCACATAGATAACTCAAAAACTACTTGTCAGTTTTTTCATTCTCTAGCTAAAGGAGCCTTTGGAATAAAAAAAAAGTTTTTTTTCCTACCCGCTCCTCCCCAAAATCTAGTCTAGATCAACGACTGATTGATTATGTTTTAATCTTAGTTTTTAAACTAGATTAAAATTAAAAAATACGATTTCGTACTTTATTTTCAGGCGACAGTATTCCCAAGAAGAGGTTACCCATTAGATGATGTCATCAAGAAGACATTGTCATCTCCCAATCCGCAAGTTAAAGCGAAAGTGGTCCCCTGGGAAGACTGCTACCGGATATTACGTGAAGTCTTCCCGACAAGGGATCATATATCTAACTGAATAATAGATTAAATTTTATTTTTTTTCGCTATTTTATTACTATACAGCTTGGGTAATTAGACAAATTATAATAATATTGAAAATTGGTTCATAATTCGTCAAATGGGCAAATTGACCATATAACAAATCATGTAAACGCAACAAACATTTTTTAGTTGTGTTTTTTTTAGTCCAATTATATACTAATTTATATTCTGTTAATAAAATATTTAATGCTAAATCGGAGCTTTAAAACTTTTTGAATGCTTTTTAAATCAATCATTTTATTTAAGTAAATATATTAAAGTTATTTATATTTGGTGCACGTGTTTCTATGTTATTTATTATTATAAACTGTTAAACAGTTTTATTCAATTATATTTAAATGTTTGGCTACTATAAATAATCGGATAATACAAAATATGACGTCAATTTGTTGTTTTATTTTCCTTAAATTATCATTTCCAGTTTAATAAAAACTTTCTTATATGCAGAAACTACATATTTAATATTTAAAACTTTGGTCACAAATAAAATTCGTAAAATTGGCATAATTTGAATATAGGTCGAAGAATTAAAATTAAAAAAAAAAGCAAGAGTCGCTAAAAGACCAACAATAAATTGCTCAAGATGTTTTCATTAGCTCTGTATTAATATATAATTGACTATAACACATTTATGTTGTAGTTCAATCTTACTAATATTATAAATGCGAATTATTGGATGGATGGATGTTTATTAAAAGTTATCTCCAGAACGGCTGCAAAATACATACACACACTTTTTAAGGAAAGAAATACATACACTTTTTAAGGATCATCGATCAACATGCGTTGTGTGGAAATGTTAATTTTGAAATTAAATCGCTATTTAAAACGATTATAGTGTGTCTATTTAAGATAGGTTTATTTGACAATTGACACCTATAAAATATCGAATTAATTTTTTATAAAGATTAATGTTGTACTTTAATAGACGGTTATCATAGTGTCGACCGTACGTCCATTACAATCAACTATGAAGTATCGAGAATAGGTCTTCTAATAATATAAATCGAAGGAATAAATACTATAATATACTCAGGTATGTTATTACTTTTTGAATTTATTACAGATATTTTGGTTTACGTCTCGCGGAACTAACTAAAGAAACATTAAAACATTTCTTTTTGTTTGGCAATATGTTAATTTGTAGTTAAATCAAAAACAATAATCACAAAATTTTCGATTGCAAGTTCTATGAGAACATCCATCGAAAATCGATAATTTTCAAAACCGATTTTATTCAACCCATCTCTAGTGAATTGTCAAATGAATTGTCAAACTAATCTAAAATAGACACCAATATACTCTTATATAAAATATATAAATGATAGACACTATAGAGACAAAAGTGAGTAAATACTCTTTAATAGCTTTTTATTAGTCACCAGTTTCCTTTTACTTCATAGTTCTAAAAAAAAAGATTATTTTGCATGGCAATACACAGTTCTCTGGAGTTATAAAGTAGTTTTTAAACAGTAATTTTACTAATAAACAACTTTTTATACGGTACTAGAATTGTAATGTTGCACAATGGAATTAAAAAGTAAGTAAGATAAAAATTTAGTAATTTTTCCTCTGCAAATATTATAAAATGGTACTGTAATATTTATATATACCATGTTGTACCAAATCTCTTTATTTTTCAGAATCAACGGCGATTAAGTTATCATTGGCAGTGTATATTGCTCTGACTCTGGTATTTCTTATAGTTGGAATAATTGAGATCAGCAGAACAAAGGTAAGTTCAACGCTTAAACCGGAATGTTTTACAATACCAAACTCTAGTCAAAATTATGGCATAGTTCTAAAGGAGAATAAAAAAATCTATAAAATATTTTTTAGATGTAGCTTAATTTTTACAGTGGTAGAGCCCGCTTTAACATCTTCGCACGAATTGGCCTGACTCGCCCGGTGAAATACCACGACCACACAGAAGACAGGCGTCAAGTGGAAGCAATTCCGCATTTTGTCTGATGAGTGTGCGTCCCGGGGGCCCTATATAGTCCTCTTTCCCTTCCCACCCTTTTTCTTATAATAAAAAGGATGGGAAGTAGAAGTGGACTTTACGGCTGAGATTTAAGGTAGGCAAGGCATATGCAATTGCGTATGTCTATGGGCAACGGTGACTTCACTATTTCAGTGATTTCAGGTGACAATTCCAGAGTCCAAGGGAGCAGAGTATTTTTCTTGCTTGTTATGGCTGTTGATATTGGGAATACAATGTCTTGCTTGTAGAGATTTCTCTCTTATCCATGTTTGGCTGTATTTCATCAGCACAATTTATCGCTATTTTTCTCTAATAGCCGCTCTAAAGTATGGGAGTAATCTATTAACCCTTAGTAGCCTGATTTACATACGAAAGTGATTTATTTTTAATATTACTGTGTTTGCTTGATAAAATAAAACAATAATGAAATTTGTTTTTTTTTTTAATTTCGTTGGAAAGAATATACAACAGTAAAATAGGTACAGCCAACCTAAAAAAACTAATAGTAATGTTAAACATTAGGTTTAAAAGATTGGTATCAAAATTGAAACTCTAGGCTATTAAGGGTTAAATCATCAAAAAGTTTTTTTTTTCAGCATGGAATAAAAACAAATACTAAGAGATATCTAATAAATTATACAGATTGTAAAAACAATTTAGATGATGAACAAACATGCGCACAACATCTTAACAAGAATATCAACGGAGACTGCAAATGTGACATTAATTTCAAATTGAACGAAGACTATAAAGGAAATGTTACTCTTTATTATGAATTAGACGGATATAAAGAGACGTTTGGACCATTATTTAATTCCAGGTAATAGTTAAAGATTAAGTTCATCAGCTCATATGTCCCCAACGAGGGGCTCGGAGCCTACCCTAAGTTATGTGATTAGGTCATAGTCAACCACGCTGGCCAAGTGCGGGTTAACTTCACACATATCTTTGTATTTCTTCTCAGATATGTGCAGCATCACGATGTTTTCCTTCACCGTAAGAACGTCGGACTAATGTACATATGTAAATCAGAAATCGAAAAACACATTGATACATGGCGGGGATTCAAACCCAGGACTTGCAGATTGCAATTCAAGTGCTTAACCCCTGAGCTATCGACGCCCTGTTTAAGTTAGTTAATTAGTAATAAAGATTAAGTTAGTTGTCTTAAAACACTGCGTACACTTTAATCTTATTGCTGCAAAATACTATTGAAACTGGTTAAGCGAGAAACCTCTATAAGCGAGATTAATTGTTTGTTTTAACCTCTAAAGGCGAGAAAGTTGTCTTAGAGTAGTCATTAGATATTTAACTTTTTTTTTTGTAATTTTGTGTAAATTGTTATATAAAGTAATTCAAATTACAAAACTAGCTGTCGCCCGTGACTCCGTTCGCGCGGAATTAAAAAAAAGGTTCCTAAACAGTTTTCAAAGCAATTATTCCAATTTCCCTCACCTTTTAAACCTTCGCTAGACCTCCACGAACATTTTTTTCTCTTGGATTTTTATATATAAATGAGGGTAGCTAAAATTATATTATAAAATGAGACAAAGATAAATAAAGTAAATAAATCTTAGTAATATAAATGTGAAAGTTTAGTTTAATGGATGTTTGTTAGAAGGTAACTTCGAAACTTAATACATCTTGTTGAAATTTGGCATTTATATATAACAGTCTATCCCAAAGTGGGCGATAACATCCCCTTGTGCTTGCTGCAGGTCTCAAGTTGCGGGTTATAGTAAAAGTTTCCTTTACAATTCTCCGTTAATATACATATATAGGTCACAATAATTAATTAATTTAATTTGAAGTTATAGTAGTTTTTAAATATGTGAAAATATGGGGGCGCTAAAAAAATATTTATTCTCAAAGTAGGCAGTAGACTATAAGTTTGGGAACCACTGCTATAGAACATAGTCTGAAAGAACACTTACCTGGGCAACAGCTAGATATAGTTAAGACTTTCTATAGGGTATCTAGTATAAGTACTAGTATGATCTCTTCATAATATTTAAGTTATTTTTAGTGACTCATCACAATGGTCAGGAATGTTAGTAATACCACCGTCAGATATGTGTCAGCCGTACCAATACGCAAACACTTCAGAGGGTTTGAAGCCAATTGTACCATGTGGAGCATTAGCTGATGCTATGTTTAATGGTAGGTACCATAGACACTACATAAAGATGCAATATACACAAAAAAAACTATTTTTAATAAATAAATAGTCTGTAAATGAGTAAGTGGTGTACAGACACCGCCATTTGTAGATTCGTTGCTTAGTAATCAACATAGTAGGGACAAATAGAGGATTATTCCCCTTCCTATTCATCTAAATCCATAGGGGTGGGTAGGGGTAGAAAACCTTGGACCTCTGGCACGCAACTAATGAGAAGCTTAGCTGATGTTGCCCCTAATCATGTTCTCACTCTGCTAGGATATGTCACCAATCTGCCTTTATCCCTACAGAGGGTCGGCATAGTATGTTCTCCATACATCTCTATCAGCCGTCATATTTAAATCCACTCTCTTCTTACACATATCCTCTTTTATTATCATCAGCTCACTATACGTCCCCACTGAAGGGCTCGGAGCCTACCCTAAGTTAAGGGCGATTAGACCATTGTCAATACTGGCCAAGTGCGGGTTGACTTTACACATATCTTTGAATTTTTCAGATATGTGCATCACGATGTTTTCCTTCACACTAACAACATAGGATAAATGTACATATGTAACACATTGCTACATGACGGGATTCGAACCCAGGACCTGCAGACAAGTCAAGTGCTTGACTCCTGAGTCACCGATGCTCCTTCAATTGAATGTTACATTTCTGTTTATGTAATCATCTACTGGGTTATGTTAAATAATTAATTCACACCGTTTTTTTAACATTTAAGATACATTTCGTCTGTTTAATACAAAAATGCAAATACAAATGGATGAAATTGATCTCATTTGTGATGCTGAAAGAGATAAATACAAAAATCCTGTTAATATCGGTAAGTATTATAACAAATGTTCACTTTTTTTAGTACGTGTAATGTTTAGAAGTAATTTAAAGTGTATTGTTTTATGTATTTAAAACTAACTGTCGCCCGCGACTCCGTCCGCGTGGATATATAAAAAAACTTAATTAGTGTAGCTCACCCATCCATCCACATCACATCCATTAAAACATTCGCATTTATAATATTAGCAAGTTAAATAAAAAGCAGCTTTTCAAGGCATAAATTCGAAAAAGAAAATGCATAAATAGTATCCTATGTCCGTCTCCTGGCTCTAAGCTACCTCCTCAACAATTTTCAGTCATATCGGTAAAGCCGTTCTTGAGTTATAAATAGTGTAACTAACATCACTTTCTTTTATATATATAGATAAGCAAAAAAAATATTTTTTATCGAATTTGAATTCTATTTAATATCCCATACAAAAACAGATTTTTTTTATAATATTAGTAATTTTTTGTTTTTTTTTTATTATTTTAATTTCGTATAATTTTTTTTATTTCAAAAACAAGATGCAGTAAATAATTTTACAAAACCAGTAAACTGGCAGAAAAGTATTTGGGACATCGGTCAAGGAAATTCAACAGGTTTTTTGGTGAGACACATATTTTTTTTTCTAATAAAAGAGTATAAAATTGATTTTTTTTATAATTTTTTTTTTCATTTTTCGCTAATAATATACATCTTTTGATATATTTAATAAGAAAATATACAAAATTAAGTAAAAAAAAGATTTTTTTTGGAAAAATTAAAAAAAAAAATTTTTTTTTGCATATTTTTTGCTGCTTTACAATATTAAACCTAACCCTTTATTTATAAAGTTCATTTTGTCTTGTTTTTATTATTTAAAATATTAGCAGGTTTTTTTGGAAATTTTTTACCATTTCAACTAAGCTCTATGCTTGTGCTAGGACATGGTTTACAATAGTCGAATGTTTAGATTCGAACCCCCGACCTTGTGATCGGATATCCGTACACTTAACCATTACGCTATTGTCGCTTCTATTGTTATTCATTTTGTCTTGTTTTAGAGTGATAAGTTCATTATTTGGATGGATACAAATGTACATCCAAAGCCAGTAGCTAAGGTACGAAAGATCGCAAACTTTGAGAATGGTTTGCCCAAAGATGATTATCATTTCAAAGTTTTTTACAGTAAGTCATTGATTAATTTGTTGATATTTCATTGAGAGTGTCGGTGGTTCAGGGGTTAAGCAGTTGCAATCTGCAGGTCCTGGGTTCGAATCCCGACATGTAGCAATGTGTTACATATGTACATTTATCGTATGTTGTTAGTGTGAAGGAAAACATCGTGATGCTGCACATATCTGTGAATGTCAAAGATATGTGTGAAGTCAACCCGCACTTGACCAGCATTCACTATGACCTGACATAACTTAGGGTAGGCTAATGATATTTTATAGAAAGGTACATATAAGAACAATGTTATAAACATACGAAAACAATTTTACAGATTTATTATATTATAAAAAAATTAAAAATATTTAATAATATCAAAATATACTAGTGTTTTTATTAATACAATAATTAAAATTTAGAAATCTTTTTTTTAAAAGGAGATAGGCATAAAAACTGATCTCGTTTACATCAGTTTTTTTAAACAGAAAAAAAACATAATGAGACGGATTTTTTTTATTGAAGTTATGGTATGGTTCAAAATATATTTTTTTGTCTCCTTTGTCTGAAAAATCATAATTAATAATGTTTTTGCTTATAAAAGATTCATATTTCCTAGTGTCACATTTTTTTTTCAGACTACCCTCCATCCAGGTACAACGGCACTAGAACATTGATACTAGAATCTGTAGAATTTGTGCCTTACGAGAGACCTAAGACTTCAGGCCCGGTTCTCCTGAGTTTAGGAATGATTCTGATAATTTTAGGGATTATTGCCTACGTGGGCAAGAAAGGACATTTCTTTGATATAAGTAAGTACAATTTTTTTTAAATTTTTTGTAAGTTCGGAAAAAAAAAAATTTTTTTCAAATTTTTTTTCCGTTTTTTTTTTCATATGATGAGTTTTATTACATTTTATTTGTATTCAAAATTAATAAATGTTTACAGTTTTTTCTTTTTACAATATTTTGAATTTTTTTATATTTTACGTCTAATTGAAATCTGACTAATATAAATGTGAAAGTTTGGATGTATGGATGTTTGTTAGAAGGTAACTCCAGAATGTCTGCATCTGGAAGAACATATAGTAGCTTATGTATATAAATTAAGTTTTTTTTTTAAATTTCGTATATACGGAGTCTGGAACTACATCTAGTTTAGAATAATTAATATAATTTTTCAGGTAACATAACCAATGGATTACCATTTTTGAGAAGAAAAACGAATGAAAACGAACCAAAAGAGAATCCTCCAGAAGAAGCGAAACCTTTGGACAGAGAACGAACAAATAGAAACATATAAAAATAATCAAACTCCACTACATTTTACAGTAAATATTCGCCAAAATAGCGAAATTACTGCCCATAGATATCTGCAGTAATATTCGACAGAAGTTGGGACATATATAAAGTTTCCCCTTCAAATATCTTCTAAATTTAACAGCTTTAACATCTTCGCAGGAATAGTCCCGGCTGCCCCGGTGAAATACCACGACCATACAGAAGACAGGCGTCAAGTGGAAGCTATTCCAACTACACGCTGATGAGTGTGCGTACCGGAGGACTCATTTAGTCCTCTTTCTCTTCCCATCCATTTCCTTATAAGGAAAGGATGGGAAGTGGAAGTGGACTTTCCGGATGAGATGATGCATCCTCATATGCAATTGCGTATGTCTATGGGCAACGGTCATTTCGCTATTTCAGCGATTTCAGGTGACCGCTCGCTCGTTTGTCATCTTATGATATAAAAAAAAATCCGTTTGTCCTTTCCATCAAAAATACGTAATACAAATATTGAAAAGGAACATTGTTATTTGAGGTTAAAAATCTCTTATTTAATAATTAGTTTATAAGAATGCTTTCTTTAATAACATTCTGAATATTAAATAACAGCTAAGCTGTAAATAAAATGCAGGTTTTGAACCTGGACACGAGTCTAATGGATCTCGATATTTTTCTCGCTTATAGAGGTTTCTCTCCCTAAAGAGACTGGACAATGACTCTCGCTGATATAGTTCACTGTATGTACAGACGATCCCGAATAAGAGTCCATTGGAACGCGATCCTTTTCTCACTCATACAAATTTCTCTCTACCCTGAGTTTCTCGCTTATGTAAGACGTCTGTTGGGATCAGATAATGACTCGCTTATAAAGGTTTCTCTCCAACCTAAAATTCTCGCTTATAGAGGTCGAGACTGGACAATGATCCTAGCTTATCCAGTTCAATGTATATACAGACGATCCCGAATAGGATTACATTGGAACGCGATCCTTTTCTCGCTTATAGAGGTTTCTCTCCATCCTGAAATTCTTCTTTATTTAGATCGTCCGTCAAAAACTGAAAATGGCTCTCGCTTATAGAAGTTTCTCTATAAACCGAGTTTCTCGCTTATGGAGTTCGGACTGGACAATGATTCTCGCTTATTCAGTACACAGTCGATCCTGGGTAAGCGAGAACGGACTAAAAGAACTCATAAATGTTACTCGTCCGGTCCCAACAGATGACCTCCGTAAGCGAGAAACTCAGGTAAGAAACTCTTATAAGCGAGTGAAATAGAAGTCTTTTAGATTCTCGCTTAACAAAGTTCAATTGTTGTTCTTAAATTAAGATCTGAAATAGATTAAGGTTACTAATATTATATAGAAGTTTTTGTATTTTTATATGTTTGTAAAGAAATAACACTAAAACTACGCGACTGAAAATTCTTTCAATTTTGGTAAGATATTTATTTTTTTATTTAATATCATCATCATCAGCTCACTGAGGGTTCAGAGCCTACCCTAAGTTATGTGACTAGGTCATAGTCAACCACACTGACCAAGTGCAGTGACTTCACACATCTTTGACATTCTCAGATATGTGCATCATCACGATGTTTACCTTCACACTAACAACATAACATAAATGTACATATGTAACACATTGGTTTAGTCAGGATTCGAACCTAGGAGCTGCAGACAAGTCAAGTGCTTGACCACTGAGCCACCATCGCTTCTTATTTACTGCCAATAAATACTGATTTGCATTTTCTTTACCAAAGAATATTTCCATGTCTTGAATTTAAAGTTAAAGATTATAAACTTACTGTAGACTTATTTTAATAAAACACAAACGGTTGTCTATTATATTTATTCAATAAATACCCATATATTTACAATGTTTTTTTTACAATAATATTGTTAAGAAATAAGATGAAATCAAAATAATGAGCCAATTTTGTTCAACAAACAACTCAAAAAAAATTTATAAAAATTATCTTTTAAGACAATATATGTGTACAGATTTTTTATTTAATTTTATTAGAAAATATAATTTCTCATTTCCATTGAATTTAATAACTATATAAACAAAATTAATGGGGCAAAAATGAACCAAAAAAAAATTTTTTTTTTTTGAGCAAAATTGACCTATTATTTTGTATATATTTGATATGATTACAAATATACAAATAAGTGCCTTAAATATATTAATTTTGAAACATTATTATGTTTTATTTCATACACTTGTACCAATTTCCTTTGGTTTAATACAAATTCATCAATATATCAAGACTCAAAAGGACCATAAATATTTAGTAAGTTAACATTCAGTCAGGAATCTACGGTTTTTAGTCGCCATAAACAATATTTCGTATTAAGCAGATTTATTTATATTACAAGGTGATAAACTAACAAATGGTCACCTGAATTCGCCGAAATAGCGAAGCGACTACTACCTTCAATCGACGGAGGAGGAGATGCATAGAAAATAAATATTTCCCCTTCCCATGCGTCCAATTATCTGTCTAATATTTTTATTTTGGGCTCAGAAACCCACAGTAATTGTATGTATGACACTCAGGGGAAGAATACGTACCAAACAATACCTCATAATTCAAAATCGGTTTAGTTGTTAACAATAAAAACATAACAGAGTTGACATCTTTACAAAAATGTCAATTGGATAAATACATGGCTTATATATTATTTCTTAGAAGCCCAATGTGTCTAAAAATGCTATATACTTCTAAACGTGGGTTTCCGAGACCGAAAATCTCTGTATAAAACATCTGAGAGTTTTATATCTCAGAAACCCACTGTGACTTATAATACATTTTATTCTATACTTCACTATACAATTTTTCTACTAAAAGTTACTATAACTGAATTTCCATTGCCAAAAAACATATCGCATCTCTAATAATTTCACAACTTAAAAACCAAATCATTGAGAAATCACATGAAAAAGATAGAAAGATATGTGGGCTAAAATTAAGTCCTACAAACAGGCACACCTCTAAATGGACTGGCTAAAAGGCGTGGTATTTTGTGCCTATTTGATTTTCGCCATTTTGGCGTTGATGGTTTATGATAGTGAATATTTTACTTTTTATTTTACAAACGAAGCTATGAAAATATATTAATAAATGTTTTTTGGCAATAAAAATTCAATATTAATTTATATTTTGACACATTTTTCAATATATACAAATACCAAATTAAATAGAGGTTAAGTAAAAATTAAAAAGAATGTACTTTATACAAATATAAATAAAATGAATCCTATATTATCCAAATAATAATGCACTTACTGTGGGTTTCTGATACCAAAATCTTCATATAAAAACATATCATCATCATCACTTTAAACGGGGATTTTTGTCTCAGAAACCCACAGTTGTGTTCAAATATCATACAAATTCAATTGATAATTTAGACAAAAATGCCTAAATAATGATTGTTTTGTTATTCAACTTTATTAGAGAGATATAATTTTATTATTACATCCCTTCTCATTACTAGCCTATGTTTACTTGTAATTTAGGGGAAAAAAAACAGATTTTCTGAAATTAGACTCACCAATTCAAAAGATCTTCAGACAGCTAAAACTCAAAAACATCCAACAGCACAGTATCACAAACTCAAGATAAGTCCACTTCGGAGAAATCTTGCAACGGATCGGAAACTTTCTCTTCAGTCTTCTCATCAGAATTCACTTGAACACTTGCACTCGACTCTAAATGCACATCAACATTGCCTACAACACTATCATTTACCACTTCACTTATAGAATTTTCAGATGATACTTCCACACTATAATTGTCTAGATCTTCAAAATCCTTGTCTGTTGGTGTATCTGCTCTGCATTTTGACGATGATAAATTCTGTACAGCAGTCTTTGATACTGTTTTGAAGATCTCGGAGACATCAGACCCTGTAGCCAGTCTGAGTGCCTGCTGCCAGCCAGCCAGGGTCTGAGCGTGCGTGTTGACTTGTCTGTCAGCCAACTCGAGGAGTAGAGATTTGACTTCAGCTCTTGTCTTTGGTATCCAATCGGAGAGTTCTGAACGGAGTGCTTCTGAAGCTTGTTCTAACCTGGAAGTTGCAAGATAATTTATTAATGTGTTTAGAGGATATGCATATGAAGGGGGTAGACTCGGATATGACGACTAATAGAGATGTATGGAGGAGTAGTACATACTGTGCCGACCCTCGATAGGTATTACGGCAGGTTGATGATGATGATGTTTAGAGTTATTTTGTACATAGCTGTTGCCTGCGACTTAGTCTGTGTTGAATTAAAAAATAAACTTAATTAGAAGTCTTTGTATTCTTCCCGACTAAGTTCTATGCTAAATTACAGCGAGATCCATGCAGCTGTTCTGGAGCTACCTTCTAACATCCATCCATCCATACATTCGCATTTATAATATTAATAATTAGTAAAAAAGTACTTACTTGTTGTGCAAGTCATCTGTATTCCCTCCAGATACGTAAGCAGCTGAAAATAAAAAATCATATTACAATCCAAGGAGCGACGGTGGCTCAGTGGTCAAGCACTTGACTTGCAATCTGTAGGTCCTGGGTTCGAATCCCGCCATGTAGCAATGTGTTACATATGTACATTTATCTTATGTTGTTAGTGTGAAGGAAAACATCGTGATGCTGCACATATCTGTGAATGTCAAAGATATGTGTGAAGTCACTGCACTTGGTCAGCATTCACTATCACATAGTCACATAACTTAGGGTAGACTCCGAGCCCCTCAGTGGGGACGTATAGTGAGCTGATGACGATGATTACAATCCAATAATCAATTCAAAACAAACATTTTGATAGCGTGTTCTAATCAGACTCCAGCGCCATCTATCTCTCACCATGTAAAGCGTTTCTGTGTCGTATTTTGTGCGTGTGCGCACGTGCGTACGCTGCAAGCAAGGGGAGTGCAGCTCGGTGACGCAGCGGGGCTCCGGCGCGCGCGTTCGCGGCGGCGCACGCCCCGCCAGCCAGCGCAGCACCCGCAGCGCCCCACGCACCACATGCACCTCGCAAACTGCATACATACACTAAATATATTAATCAAATCAGAATATTATAAGATACATTTTTATTTTAATACTAGCTATCGCACGCGACTATCAACACGCAATTAAAAAAACTTAAGTAGTCTATGTGTTCTTCCAGACTATGTTCTATATGTATAACAAATTTCATCAAGATCCGTTCACCCCTTCCGGAGATACCTTCTAACAAATTCCATCTAAACATTCACATTTATAATATTAGTAAGACTACAAACTAACTAAAACACTTTTTTTTAATTAATTTACAAAATTTATCATAAAAACATTTGCAACTTGATAAGCGAGAAACCAGAAAAGACCCGGATAACTTGCTTATAGACCTATCTTATCCAAATTTCTCTTTTATAAAGGTTTCTTGCTTATTTAACTTCAAATGTATATATATTAAATAAAGTATATAATACTAGCTTTCGCCCGTGACTCCGTCCGCGTCGATATATATATAAAAAAACTTAATATATAGATATGTTAAATAACTTGTTGAAAATAATTCTCATCATAAATTTAAAAAAAAAAATGAATAAATAGTATCCTATGTCCGTCTCCTAGCTCTAAGCTACCTCCTCAACAATTTTCAGTCATATCGGTAAAGTCGTTCTTGAGTTATAAATAGTGTAACTAACACCACTTTCTTTTATATATATATAGATATAAAATACCTCATATATTCCCCGCTGAGTGCTACAGAACCTTTGTACAATTTAGTTGTAAGCGAGCAGAGTGTGGTCAGCTTCTGCTCTAAAGACTGCAAATAGTCCGCTGCTGCTGTGAACTCTGGGTCTTGTACTCTGAAAAAAAAAAACTTTTAAAGAAAAAAAGCAAGAGAAATTATTAGAACCCTTAAAAAACATATTGGGGCTCCTGGATTCAAGCTTGGAGGTCTTTGATTCCACATTGAGCCCCTTATTGGGGGTCCATGATGCCATACTCGGGTCTTTAATCCCATATTGGGGGTCTTGACCTCATATTAAAGATCCCATGTTATTTGGGGGTCTAGGGAATACCTAAGGGTTTTGGGGGTTTATCTCAATATTGGGGACTTTGACCCCATATTGGGGGTCCTTATTCCATGTTTGCGGGTATTAAACTGAAACCAGTCCTTCGCCTTTTCGTCAAATTTACTTAGTAGAGCGAGCTTTAACATCTTCGCAGGAATTCTTCCGGCTCGTCCGGTGAAATACCACGACCATACAGAAGATACGCCTCAAGTGGAAGCTTTCCGCGTACAGTCTGATGAGTGTGTGTCCCGGAGACCGAATTTACTCCTCTTTCCCTTCCCAAACTTTTTCTTAAAAGGAAAGAATGGGAAGTGGAAGTGAACTTTCCGGATGAGATGCATGGGAAGGGAAAATATTTTATTTCTGTGCACTCTCTCCTGCAGATTAAAGGTAGGCAAGGTATATGCAATTGCGTATGTCTATGGGCAACGGTCACTTCGCTATTTCAGCGATTTCAGGTGACTGCTCGCTCGTTTGACATCTTATGATATAAAAAAAAACATAATAATTTGACATGCAAATATCTGTATGTATATAAATGTCTCACCTAGCTCCATTAGGTGCTGGTTTAGATTCTCCGCTGCCGTACAAAGCACTACTAAGACCCCAAAGATTTAATGCATTATTTTCACTCTTGAATACCTGAAAATAATCACACATACAATCAAGAGGAAATTAATTTAAAAGAGAAATTTCTTTCAACTAAAAACATATCTTATATCTTTAAATGATCAATTCTTGTATATACAGGTGTACCAAAAGGTTACGTACATAGGAAGGGGGATGATAGGGGTGGTCACAAGGGTCACCAGAAAAATTAAATAAAAATTCCCCTCTGGGTATTAATAAAAATAAAGGGCATTTTTTAAAAACTTAAAAATTTTACACCTTCTGGGGCAATTTTAATTTTGTTTAAAATCTTTCTTAGTTGTATTGTTTTTTTTTATTTCATATTGATAAAGGGTTATTGACGACAACGTAATAGCTTTTTTTTAAATGTAGCAATATTTGTAGGTCATCGGTTACAAAATTGCCCCAGGAGGTGTAAAATTTTTAAGTTTTTAAAAAATGCCCTTTATTTTTTTTAATACCCAGAGGGAAATTTTTATTTAATTTTTTTGGTGACCCTTGTGACCACCCCTATCATCCCCCTTCCTATGTACGTAACCTTTTGGGACCTGTATATATATATAATTGTAATCTCGGAATCGGCTCCAAAGATTTTCATAAAATTTAGTATATAGGGGGTTTCGGGGGCGATAAATCGATCTAGCTAGGAATCATTTTTAGAAAATGTCATTTTATTCGTGTTTTATCGATAATCAACTTAAACATAAACTTAACTTTTTCTATCGGTAAGATGGAAAAATATTATTCATATTTCATCATTTTATTAGTAATTCCTACTTAAATATAATTTACAAAAAAATACAATTTTCGGTCATCCAGATTTTTATTTATTAAATTGACAAAATAATAAAATATAATATTACTAATATTATAAATGCAAATGTTTAAATGTTTGTTAGAAGATATCTCCGGAATGGCTGAACAGATCTCGCTGAAATTTATCACAGATGTAGAACATAGTCTGGAAGAACACATAGACTACATAAAGACGAATCAATGTACTAATTAAGGCTCACAGATAGTATAAGAAAATATAGAGATTAATTTGGATACAAAAGTAGACGGAAGAAAGTGGATATGTTAGAGAAAGGAGCTGATAGACATAAATGGAAGAATACAATATCTTTTTTTACAGCTATTGGGTCGTAGAAATACCTTATCAAATTCTTCATCAGGTGTGGTAACAAACAGTCTGAAGTCCTCGCTATGTGTCAATATGGGGTGCTTCGCCACTCGATCTGGAGCATACAATATATATTTTATTTAATTCATTCATCATCAGCTCACTATACATCCCCACTTAGGGACTCGGAGACTACACTAAGGGGTGATTAACTTATCAAATAAATTAAATAATAATACATTGATTTAATTTTGAATACTTAGTGATAAAATATCACAAAAGGTCACTTGATTTTAATCCACGGAGGAGAGGATGCACAGAGAGAAAAAATATCTTCCCTTTCCATGCATCCTCTCATCCGGAAAGTCCACTTTCACTTCCCATCCTTTCCTTAAAAGAAAAGGCTGGGAAGGGGGAAAGTCATAAAATTGCAACTAAAAAATGGTTAAAAGTGTCTTTGTTAATTAGAAGGTTCTGTTCTGTCTGTACGTTTCAACACAACTGTTAGCAAGTAAATCCGAAAATGAGCCAATGTATTGACTCAACACTAGCCTTACTAAAATGTCGACGTTTATGTCCCCTCACTAATCAATCTGACTTCACTTTGTTACGAAAGCACGTCATTCGCGACAAATGATTTTAACTCTCTCGATGGCTGGCAATCCACAAGCGTGTGGTTTGCGCGAAACTTCCTGCCTCGCACAGCCTCGACCGGCAACGCATCTGCGGTTCTTTTGGTATTGCTGATGTCCATGGGCGTAGTTGAACACCTCGGTGTTCCCTATGCTCGTTTGCCCCCTTCTGTTTTATAAAAAAAACTAATAATGTCTAAAACTACATACCTAAGAATGCGTGCAATGCCAACGCACGTATATGTACAAAAGCTGGCTGGTATCTGTCCAGCTGCTGGCGCGCGGAGTGCAGCGGCGGCAGCGCTGGCGGCGCCAGTAGCGGAGCACCCGCACACAGCCTTCGGTGAAGCAACTAACACACACACTTAACAATTTATCACTGATAAGCTTTCACCAGCAGCTCACCAGCGGAATTAAAAAACATATTTTTAACAATTCATATTAGCTCATGTTAAGGGTAATTAGGCTATAGTCAACCACGCTGGTCAAGTGCGGGTTGACTTCACACATATCATTGACTTTCTCAGATATGTGCAGCATCACGATGTTTTCCTTCACCGTAAGAACTTCGAATAAATGTACATATGTAAATCGGAAATCGAAAAACACATTGGTACATGGCGGGATTCAAACTCAGGGTAGGCTCCGAGCCCCTCGGTGGGGACGTATAGTGAACTGATGATGATTAGCTCATGTTAGTAGTAATATAGCTTACTAACAGTAAAAGAATTATTCAAATCAGTTCAGTAATTTCAATATCTAAATGCAAACAACCAAACAAATCTTTACTTTTTATAATATAAGTATAGATTAATAGGATGGATCGTCAGTTACTCAGTTGTCAAGCAATTGACCCAACTGGACCGTAATCAAAAACGTCCAACTACGATCCCCTCCATGTAAGAATGTCATATGTATTTATCTTATATTTTTACAGTCATGGAAAACATTGTGTAGCTGCACATATATCAAAGATTTGTATGAAGTGTTACCGCACTGGGCCATTGACTATGGCTGTCACTCGTATATTGGGTAGGCTAAGTTTTGTAGCTAAATAAGGAGATTCAAACGTAATAATGATATTATTTCATACCTTGAAATGATTGTACCGTCTTCTAACAAATGATGGAGTCGGCCATCGAGCACACACGCAGCGTACCCGGTACGTCACAAAAGTTTCTAATGTTGACAACTGCTTCATTGGTGCATCTACCTACAAACCGGAATTAACATTTTAAAACTTATACAATGAAAGTAGATAGTGCTAAAATGACATAATTTAATGTTCTTACGGTGAAAACATTGTGATGCTGCACATATCAGTGAAGAAATGTCAAAGATACGTGACAATGACCTAGTCACTAACTTAGGGTAGGCTGCAAGCCCCATAACTTATATTTTTTTTATTATCGAACACCTAATATAAAAAAATCAGTTTGTTTACTAGCAGTTACCTTGACAGCAATATCATAGCCATGCTCCATAATCAAGGGGGCTCCATCCACCGCATCATCAGTGACACTAGGAGCCTCCATGTCCTCTGTGATGTCCCCATCGTTCAGGTCTAGCACTGCTGAGCTGGAGTCACTCGCCATTACTAAAGTTTTAAATAAATACGCTATAAACTTAGAAAAAAATATGTAAATATATCGACGGTCGAGAACTTTACGTAAATAAATAAGATTTATTGAACAATTAAATAAATAGCAAATGATAAGTGACTTTATATCTTTGTGGGCGTACAATACGGATGACGCATTCTGAAAAATACAATTTTAAACTAATTTCATAAACCGATAACAAAAAAACAAAGATAAAAACATGATATACAAAGAGTTGGCCTATTTTCCATTTTTGGATCAATACTGCATAGAAAGCTATCGATGTACAAAAGCATCTTGTACTTAGAAAAGGCAATAAATATAAATAGATCATGATTGGACTAAATACCTTTTATACGAAAATTTAGGAAGAATTAAATTCCTTTATTGTAGACAGTGAAAATTTTCAAATATCCAAAACTAAGACACCTTCATGACTTGACGCGACTGCTGACTTGACATTTATGACATTTCATAACTGTCAATTCAATTTAATCGATGATTTTTAAACAGATAACCTAAAGTAAACACCTAAACTTTACTTAATTTTCCTGATTTAAAAATCGTTTGATGAATACGTAAAATGAAATTCGAAGAGCCTATCTGAAAAAATGGAAACAGAAATCTTCTTAACATATAAAAAGTTTATTGCATTTATGATGTGTGTTTAATGACTGCAGAAATTTAATTATTTTTTATCTTTATCTATTTGACTCTGACACTTGCTTAACACTTCGTGACTTCTTGACTTTGTCATCTTTACAAGTTTTGACGTTTTTAATTTCCAATTTCTTATGATATAAACGTTTCTGTATCATAGAAATTTAATGAAAATAAAAGAAAGTTCTAACAAATAAAACTCTTAACACCGTTCTTCCGTTACAACAGCCATAATTGCTTCCAAAATGCAAAACGTTAACGCTCAGCGGGAGCCAGCTCCCGTCTTGAGCACAAGTTCGACAATTCTAAATATGAGAGAAAAAGAAAAATACATTGAAGACTTTGACTTTCCCTTCTGCGACGAGTCTTCCAAGTACGAGAAAGTCGCCAAAATAGGTCAAGGCACCTTTGGTGAAGTTTTCAAAGCACGAGCAAGGAATAGTAGTAAGAAATTCGTTGCGATGAAAAAAGTACTTATGGACAACGAAAAAGAAGGCTTTCCCATAACAGCTCTGCGTGAAATTAAAATTTTACAACTTCTCAAACACGATAATGTCGTCAATTTAATAGAAATATGTCGTACAAAAGCGACATTGCATAATAAATATCGTTCGACATTTTATTTAGTATTCGATTTTTGTGAACACGATTTGGCGGGTTTGCTATCAAATGTTAATGTTAAATTTAGTTTAGGAGAAATTAAAAAGGTTATGCAGCAATTGTTGAATGGTTTATATTATATACATAGTAATAAAATATTACATAGAGATATGAAAGCAGCTAATGTGTTGATAACAAAGAATGGTGTGTTAAAGTTGGCAGATTTCGGTCTAGCTCGAGCCTTCAGCGTTGCGAAGGCTGGACAAGTCAACAAATATACTAACAGAGTGGTCACATTGTGGTATAGACCACCGGAGTTGTTATTAGGTGAGTTAGACAAACAAAAATCCCTTTAAAACTATGTTGTTACTTGTATGGAGGTTTTATATTCATTTGTATGACAAATTATCACTGGCTACTTGCACATTTGCCATTAAAGTATAAAAAAATTGCAGGTGATAGAAATTACGGTCCTCCCGTAGATATGTGGGGTGCTGGATGCATTATGGCGGAAATGTGGACTAGATCGCCTATTATGCAGGTTAGCAAAGTAACATGTGTTATCTTCAACATATATGTTAATGACTCATTTCTAATCACTAATAGCCTAATGGTTAAGGGTATGGATTTTCGATCATATGGCCGAGAGTTCGAATCCCGTGATTCGACTATTGTCGTAACTAGGAATGGTACAAGAAATATTGTTAATTAACAAAAATCTGATAATATTGTCAAAAAGAAAAAAAAATCCAACACCTAAATTAAGTAAAAATTAAATTCCATGCAATGCGGCAAATACCAAATTTCAGACTTTTAATTATTTTGAGAAATTACTGCAAACTTTATATTTAAAAGACATTTACCAGGAATCATAGAGAATTAACGAGTATCATTGTAAACTGCAGTTTCTCTATATCTAAGGGATTGTGCTAGAACCAGATTTTTTGACCATCTTTTTAATCCCAGGGTCCTACAGAACAGCAGCAATTGATCTTAATATCCCAACTATGTGGTTCCTGCACACCTGATGTGTGGCCAGGAGTTGAGAACCTGGATCTGTACAATAAAATGGAACTCCCCAAGGGCCAGAAGAGGAAGGTCAAGGTTTGTGAAAATAATAATTTTGCTGATACAGTTATGGGTGACTAGGCCATAGTCAATGCTGGCCCAGTGCGGGTTAACTGCACACATATCTTTGACTTTTTCAGAAATGTGCAGCATCACAATGTTTTCCTTCACTGTAAGATTGTTAGATGCGTATGAAATTTTAACTAAGACACATTAATGCATGGAGGCGATCAAACCTAGATTTTGATCTGGCCGGGCTGGTCAAATGTCAACTGCACCATAAACCCTTCAATTGATTAAAATTTGATTATTATATCACTTTATATTGTTTCAGGAACGCCTAAAGCCTTATGTTAAGGACCCATATGGTTGTGATTTACTCGACAAATTGCTGCAATTGGATCCTGCAAAACGGTAATAAATAAAAAACTTATAGCTTAATTCGGTTAATACAATTTTTATTTTACTAGTTTTTGACACTGATATTTAGTGGGGTGGTAAATGCACTACGCATCTGCGGTTCCTCTGGTATTGCTGATGTCCATGGGCGTCGTTGAACACCTCGGTGTCCCTCTGCTCCTTTACCCTCTTGTTATATTTAAAAAAATATATGTGCACAAGCTTATTAAAATAAATTTATTACAGATATGATGCAGACACGGCGTTGAATCATGATTTCTTCTGGACGGACCCTATGCCATGTGATTTAGCGAACATGCTCGCCCAACACACACAGAGTATGTTCGAATACTTAGCGCCACCACGGAGGCCAGCACACTTGCGTCATCATCATCACGTCGCTGGTGCACAGGCGAAGCCCTCGCAACCCGTTGCTGATTCTGGGTACCAGGACCGTGTCTTCTGAGCGGTCAGACGCCGGTCCCGACATCGCGGGGCAAAGCCCTAATTGTGACAAGCTTTAGGTGACTGTGAATAGTGTGGGGATTGGTAAAACGAAGTGAAATGTGTAAAATAAGTGAAATTGTTTGATCCAGTTAAGTAATTAGTTACTTATGTACATTTTGAGGTATGTAACGTAATTTTGTACTGACTTGCAATATGGCAACCCCACATTTTATGTCTCCTAGAGCTGACAAGTGACAATAGACACTGTAAGGGTGAATTAAATGTTAAGAAAAATGAAAGGGACAAGTGAAAATAGTGTAATATGCCATCTCTATTTTTGTCTTTGATTAGAAAGTGATAGGTATATTTCTTAGTTATTACAGTTTGACTAAAAATTGTATGTGAAATCTGTATGGAATGTGTATGATGTAAGGTAAACTACCATGATAAAGCATTTATATTTTTGTATGTGTAAATATTGACTCCACAAAAAATATTTTAAAATTATAAAAAATGTTAACTTAGAAAAAATATAAAAACAGTTTGCATTGTATAAAATATAATAATTTTACTAGATAAATGCTTTCGAGTAAATATAATAAGGGAAAATTGTTTCTACTAGTTCGTAAATAACTAATCTTTGACCAAGTTCTAAAAATAGGTTATGTATTTGTCTGAATGTTTTGTATGTATAAAATTATAAAAGATTAGTTAAGCCTATTTTTTTTTATTTTGCACTATCTTACTAATATTTTAAATGCGAAGATAAGGATCGGTTATCTGAAGATATCACCAGAACAGATGCATGTATCACTAAAATTTGGCATAGATGTAGGTAGAACATAGGAAAAATATATTATGATAGCAGGTTTTCAATATGAATCGAAGCGCAATGATGTAAACAAATATAAACAGAATAATAAATAATATATGTAAACTAAATCGATTATTAAATTGCCTTAACTTTTTGTAAATCGTCATGCAAATTACGACCTCAATAGCAATTCAATTTAAATCTGGTCACACTGCCCAAAGTAAGAAAGGAAGTGTCAATGTCAAAAAAGTTTCGTCAACTGAAAACCGATCGTAGTTTTTGAAAAGTTTTAGTTTGTATTTGTGAAGATATTTTCTTTATATCTTATTAGTAATAACGACATAGAAAAATGCAAGAAAATGTTACAGACTTAATATCACCGCGAACAAAGGATAACCATAATAATAATTTAAAAGAACTGAAGATTATATTGAACCGTAACGATTGCATTGTTAATTCGTATTTAAAGGGATCAAATAACAATATAAGTAAATTACAAGAAAGTAATACCAAAGAATACAAACCAAGAAAAAGTATGAAGTAAGTTTCTTACAAGTTTAATTTACTAGCTGTCGCCCGCCATTCCATTAAAAAAATAAAAACTTAATGTGTATTCCATGTGTTCTTCCAGACTATGTTCTACATCTATGCCAAATTTTAGAGAGATCCATACAGTTGTTCGCGAGATATCATCAAACAAACATCTATCCATCTTAACTTTCACATTTATAATATTAGTAAGATTATTAACTAGGAAATATTATGTTTTTATTATAGTAATTAGTAATATACATTACTTCTGCCTAAGCCTTGCTATTAGAAAACTGATCTAGGCTATAGATACAAAATAAGTGAAAGTTATAATTTTGCTACCTAAAGCAATTTAATTCACTGTTTGTTTTTTAATTCACGTAAATATAATGATCATCTTATAGTATAATATAAGTGTATAAAATTGTATAAATAAAAATGTGTCTAACGAAATTTGTGCATGCCTGTTATTGGCATACATATGTAAAATGTTTGTGTGATTTTTGTTTTTCTGCTATTTTTATATGTATGCTGTTGGCCTGTCTTAATAAATAAATAATAATAATAATAATATATAGTTGAATAATGTAACATTTACGAAAGCAATACTTTATAATTGTTTCGTTGCAGATTCTTAGAAGACACTTGTTACAACAGATCACATCCAGAAACAAGTTCGAAATCAAATTTATATAATTCTAAATATTCAGCATACTATTGTGAAGTATGCGGTGATATATTCCAAACAATGCGAGCATTAATGCAACACACACGCTTTCACATCAAGTCCCAAGGAGTTGTGTTCACATGTGCCCTCTGCGGTGAAACATTTGAAACTAATTTAGAACTGATCAACCACAAGGTAGTGCATGATACAGAGGACCATTGCTTTAAATGTAAGAAATGTAAAGTGGCGTACACAAATCACCATGATTACATACAACACAATGTAAGACATATGGATACAGGCCCTTATAAATGCATTGAGTGTTCGTTCACATTTAGCTTAAGAAAGTCCTATAAAAACCACATAACAACACATTATTTGAAACAATATAAATGTAATAAATGCCAAGAAATATTTATACAAAAATGTGATCTTAATAGGCATATAAGAAATAACCATAATCCTGGTATAGATTGTGTTGAATGCGGTAAACATTATCAAACACAGAGAGATCATGACGAACACATGAGTATACATACAGGTGTTAAGACATTCCAATGTTTGTACTGCGGTAAAGGATTCTCAAAAAATCAAGGTAGACGTGTTCATATGAGGAAAATGCATACAAAGTTCGTACCTTACGAATGTACAATATGTTCGGTAGGATTTTATAATGGTTCACAATTAAAATCACATATGATAATTCATAATACGAAGATGAATTACGAATGTAATGATTGTGGTCGTCAATTCTATCATAGAAATAGTATGGTAGAGCATGCAAGACAACATTTAAACTATATGTTATATAAGTGCCCAATATGTAAATGTAAACGACCAACATATCAGAAACTATTAGAACATACAGAGGTGAAGCATATTAAGATCAAAAGATATAAATGTGAATTGTGTAATGTCACATTTATTCTAAAACGTTCCTTATTACGACATTTGAGAACGCATAAACATCGAAATAAGTCTTACGCGACAATGGCGGTTTAGCTATAATATAATTGACAGATTATTATTTCGTAATAAAAGTTATTTTATATGTGTTTTATTGATTTATGACCTTCAGATCTGCCTATGTTTATTAGCCGACTTTAAAAAGATGCTTATCTTACTAATATGCGAATGTTAGAACGGACTGTACGGATTTCAATAAAATTTGCCATACGTATTGAACATAGTCTGGAAGAACACGTAGGCTACGAATTGTTTTTTTTTAATTCGCGTAAGGCTTCGCGGGCGACAACTAGTTTTGAATAGACCGTTTGAATGAAATGTAAATATTTTTTATATAATTGGCAACATATACGTGGACGGCGAATTCACCCTATGTTATTTCTTAACTTGCTGTTCACGGATGTATTTGCAATGGTAAAGTTGCAAATATAGTAATTTTTTAAACGATAATTACTGTGGAAGAATTTATTAAGCGAAATAAAATATAAAAACGATTTATTATTTAAGAAACACAGGTGGGAAGTATTTAAATGTTTGTTTCGGGCAACATTAATAAATGTCAAATTAATAATTTGTGATACTCGTTGATAATTGTTTATCACGTTTATTCTGAAAAAGAAAAACATTTCAGCGATTTAAATTGCAGTAAATATAAACATGGCCTGTAGATATAATAATTTAAACTATATTTCTAGTTATTAAATGTTAGCGGTTCATTTCTGAGCGACACAGACCGAGGTAAGTTTACTTGTTCGTAAATTCTTGTTTATATATTTGCGCGCGAAATTTCTTTTAAAACAAATATATTATTAAGATGCGTTTATAGAAAGACAACGTTGTTGACTGTTTTGTGTCATTTTAATTAGCGTATTATAATTTTTGTCGCATCTTATTCTGAAAATCGCTTCGAAAGTTAAATCGTTACATTAGCGTGTTGATGTGGCGAAATGAACCTTAATGCAATAGAAATAATGACTAATTTGTGTTGTCCTATTTGAAACATCAGAATAAGGACGCTTGATGATTTTGTACGGATGTTTTAGTATTATTGAAAATTATTTTAACATTTTGGTTTAATAAATTAATAAAATCTATACATAGTTAGTTTTTATGTATTTTGCGAAAGGAAGATACGTGTAACGGAGTGAAATCGGATTATAAGAATATCTCGTATACTACTTCTTAGTTGAAACAAACATTAACTTTGTAAATAACTTGCTGTTACTCCCGAAACCATACACGCGAAATTTAAAAAAATAATAATTAGTAGTCTATGTGTTCTTCCAGACTATGTTCTACATCTATGCCAAAATTCATCAAGATCCATTAAACCGTACCGGAGATACCTTCTAATATCCATCTAAATATTCGTATTTTTAATATTAGTAAGATTTCAATTGCCATTACAGAATCACGGATAAGGATCATGGCAAAATCATGCTGCGTAGAAGGTTGCATTGCCAAAGATGTAGTCTATTTCAGGTGAGTTTTAATTTCTTACTATAATATAAAATTCTTATAAATATTGTTAATTAAAGAACCTAAACTTTACTCCTACAATCAAATTCCCATGACTTCCTTCAAATATGATTAACATCTCATTTTACAAAATTGTTTCGGTTTGTTTATTAAGTAAATTTGTTTTAGTTCAAAGAAATTTATTCCATTACAATCCTGGATAAGCTAAAGTCCAAGCAATGGGGATATTTTTCTCCTATATAGAGGTTTTTCTCTTTTACAAAGGTTGTCTATTGGGACCAGACGGAGAGTCATTGTCTTATAGAGGTTTCTCGGTTATTCACATCTTACTTATCTTGTTTCAACTGTATTTTCAATATTATTTCATCATTTTGTCAGGAGAGGATGTAGGCATAAGGAATACTTATGTCTTTTGTTTATTCCAGATTTCCTAACAGCCGAACTCAATGTAAGAAATGGATTGAAGCTATGAATTTAACCAGCAAGCCGTCCTACAACTCTATGATATGCAGCGATCATTTCAGACCGGACGATTATGGTGTAGTTCGCGGTAAAGTCAGGTTAAAACCTAAAGTTGTGCCTATATCACAGGTTAGTTCTTAATCTTTACCTATAAAATATAAGATTTTTTCTCTTAGATGTTTTAAAATGTTACTGGTTTGTCGACAACACTGTTGCTTCATTTCCTCTGCTGGAGACTGTAGGGGTTCCAACTGAACCACTTTGATAATCTCAATCTTATATATAAAATTCTCGTGTCAGAATTTTCGTTGCCATACTCCTCCGAAACGGCTTGACCGATTTATAGCGTTTGTTCTATGTAATCTGCTGAAGGAGATTTATCTTATGTTCTTACGGTGAAGGAAAACATTGTGATGCTGCACATATCTGAGAAGAAATTCAAAGATATATGTGAAGTTAACCAACACATAGTAGTCACCCTTTGGGTAGGTTCCGAGCTCCTCAGTGGGGACATATAGTGAGCTGATGATGAATCTACGGAACAGGTGGACTGATGTTGACGGGATATTGACAGGAAGGTAGCTGGTGCACGCGGGCATGTTATAGGACACTTTTTCATTGTTCCCTGACCGCTAATCATGTGTTTATATAAAACTGAAAGTTCTTACAGTCTGTTCACTGTTTTAATATTTTTTTAATTACAGAATGAACAACAAAAACCAAATGAAATAACAAAAGATAATGCTAATAAAGAAAATAACGATAGTTTAGAAAATCAAAAGATCGTAAACTTCAAGCGGAATAAAGCAGAAGAAATAAAGAATGGCATAGAAGATGTAAATGGAGATGAAAGAAAGGAAGAAATAAAAGATAAGAAAGAAACAGATGCACAGGATACATCTTCTGATGATGAACCCCTTAGTAAACATCAGACTACAAAAGAATCCCCAAAAAAATTGCCGGAAAGGTAAATATTTTTATTAGTATAACTTTGAGCTTTTTTCTGATAAAAATGTCCATGGGAGTTGGATCAAATAATTTTAAGTGATTCGTTACTCGTTTGCTCCCTTCTCCTATAAAAAAAAACAAACTGGGTCATTGTTAAAAAAATGGATTTTTTTTTTGAAATCAAATCGTTAAAATAATGCCAAAAGTCCAAATAACCAAAAGAATATCATAGAAAAGTATCGTAAACTTTAGATATTTGAAAACAAAAATCATCCCTTGAATTTCAAAAGTGACATAGTTTTGTACCCAATTAATCTTTGGTTTCCGAGACCAAAATAGTCATCCTTCACATTATCTCATGTCTCAGAAACCCACAATAACTGAATTTTCAATATTTCAATTCTATTTTTAACTCCTATAGGGTAAATAAGTGAACCTTTCCCTCTCTCTCTCTGCCTAACTGTATACTACAAAGTGATTGAGTCAGCTTTCCCAATCAGTCTCCGCTTCACTCTGTCCACATCATCTGAGACTTGGCATTCACTTATGTCCTTTTTGTGAACTGTTTTTGATAAAAAAGGTATCATTTGATTCATATTCTCCGAGTGTTTTAGTCGTATTTTTTTTTTAAATTAATTTATGTGATTTCAGTATAAATCAATTTGATTTAAATTCAAATACAAATGTAACAATGGACAATGATATAGAAGATATGTTGACTTATTACTCTATAAAGAATAAAAGTCTGTCACACGTACAGACAGAAGAAAATAAGCAAGAGATTAGCCAAGAAAATACAGATTTGCCACCTCAAGAGAATGAACCGCCCCCAGTGTTTATAGAAGTTGCTGCAAATCAAGGTAAAATAAACTAATCCTTTACTTCATCATCAGCTCATACATCCCCACTGAGGGTCTCGTTACCCTAAGTTAACTATGTGATAGTGAATGTTGGTCCAGTGTGTTTCACACATATCTTTGACATTCACAGATATGTGCAGCATCAATATGTTTTACTTCACACTAACAACATAAGATAAATGTACATATGTAAAACACATTAGTACATGACGGGATTCGAACCCAGGACGTGCAGACAAGTCAATTGGTTAACCCTTGAACCACCAACGTTCCCGGAATGGCTGGAATAAATGTTATATTATCACTAATCAGGCTTTAATGGATACAGTTGGCTTTAAAACTCATTTTGTTTCAACTTAATTAATGCAAATTTTACTCCTTCTGCAATAATTCTGATTAATCTATATTCTAGAACAAAATAACCGAGACACAGGCAGCCCGCAAGACTGTCTCATGTTGTTGGAGAGTGTGCAAGTGGAATTGGACCCGAATGAGCTGATGATGTCAGATGTAGATGACAATGGACCTTGTGGTGAACAGTAAGTAGATTAATTAAGATGAGAACTTAACTGTTAGGGATTGGACTATATTTTTAACATATAATGTAAGAAACGAGCAGATATTCACTTCAATTCGCCAAAATGGCGAAGTACCTGCTTCACATAGATCCGCAATTGCAGATGCCTTTAATCGACAGAGGAGGGGGTGTACAGAAAGAGATTATTTTCTCTTCCCTTGCATCATACGGAAAACCAACTTCCAATTCCCATCCTTTAGCTGGCGTCCATAAATGACGTTTACGTAAGAAACTCACATTTTGAAAAATCTCAAGTGAGATTGGGGATGGGGGAGGGGGTTGAATAAAATCTCACATCTCACCAAGGGTGGGGAGGGGCAGAAAATTTAAAAAAACACCTCACGTAATTTATTGACGCCCTCTGACTTATAAGTAAAATGATGGGAAGGAAATAAGGACTAAAGGCATCCGATATGCATGTCCAGGACGGAGTTGAAAGGAAAAGAATAAGGAGATAGTAGAATACAGATTGCACAATACTAGACAAAATATCCCATTATTGTCTACAGGATGTTTCACTTTCAGACCTGAAGATCCAATCAGCTTGTTGACTTCAAGTGATGATGATGATGTCATAATCGAAGAGCCCCATATTGACACAGTGGAGGTGTCAGATGCAACTGACGAGGATGATGTGCCGCTGGTGAAGTTGGTGCCGAAGACATCGAAACTTCGCCCCCGCTGGCGAGCTCCTAATCCCTTTTATAGGAAAGATGTCTGGGGAATTTATCAGGTATATTGTTTTTTTTATCTATATATATAAAAATCAATTGGTGTTCGTTAGTCTCGCTAAAACTCGAGAACGGTTGAACAGATTTATCTTATCTTGGTCTTGAAATCGTGGAGGTCTAGGGAAGTTTTAAAAGGTGAGAAAAATTTGAATAATTCCGCGCAGACAGAGTAACGGGCGACAGCTAGTGTACCAATATAATAAAATCTAAAACAATTTATGTTTCAGTACTTCTGTCCACAATGTAACTACAGGACGCCCAGTAAATCTGAATACAAGGCACACACAATCGAGCACTCGACCGCAGTGTTAGTGTGCCACAGGTGTGCCTTCACAACATCCAGCAAGGTCCAGTATACGAGACATATGAGACGACATAAAGAATCAAGGAGATTCAAATGTCATTTATGTTCGTACAAAGCGAAATATCAAATGAGTCTCGTGTACCATTTAAAGTGTCATGAAAGTGTCGGTGACAAGTGTATGTTCAAATGTGATAAATGTGATTATGTTTCAAGTGTTAAACGGTATTTATTGAAGCATGTGCTTGTGTGTAGTGCGAGGAAAATTAAACCGAGAAGACATAAACGGCCTAAAACTAAAGAGGTAAGACTTTCTAAATAAGTTAACTTTATAGTTATTTGTGGGAACTAAATCTTATTTTAAATGGTTATTTTTTTAATTACCAGGCAAGTAATCTAACTATATGAAATTACGTATTAGTGTCTGTAGGTAATGTTGGAAAGAAAATCCGACATCGTACCGATGTAATGGCGCAACACTAGCCTTATTAAAATGTCAATGTCTATGTCCACTCACTAATCAATCTGACATTTGACTTTGTAAAGAAAACGCGCCATTCGCGCCAAATGATTCTAATTGTCGCGAATGACGTGCTTTCGTTACAAAGTCAAGTGTCAGATTGAATAGTTAGGGGACAAGAACCTCGACATTTTAGTAAGGCTAGTGTTGAGTTAATACATTGGCACGTTTTCGGATTTTCTTCCTAATACAAGCGACAAATTAAGATTTTTCTTCTGGTAATTACAAAGTAATCATGTATATTTTTTTAATATTTAATTTGTATTATTTACCTTTAACAATGTTTCTTTTGCTCAGAAACGTTATAGATAATTTGAAAATGTTTCAATGTTCAAAAAATGGCGGGAAAAAGCTAATATAATTTGATATTTTATAATAAAAATATTTGTCTATCATTCCGAACTTATAAATGTTTAATGCCGAGAATAAACAATGAAATAGAAGATTTTATTTATAAAGAATATTTTTTTGTCTATGTTTTTAATTGTCTGTGCCATTGTGTTATTTTCCCTGTCAGGGGTAAATGTTTTTTTATATAATAAGCCTTATTTGATAATTAAATTAAATAAATGGTTCTCGCTTATTATTAAATAAATTATACTCATTTTTATATTATGTATTTGGGATAAAAAAATAGATAGTAGCCATTGCCCATAACTACTAAACATGCATATAAAATTTCATAAACATCTGTCAAGTTGTTTTAAAGAAGTATGGTAACTAACTCGAAAGAAGTCAACCAACCAGCACTTGTCCAGTGGTTGACTATGGCCTAGTCACCCTTAACTTAGGGTAGGCTCCGAGTCCCTCGGTGGGGATGTATAGCGAGCTGATGATGATGGTATCTAACATTATGACATGAGAATTTTATATATAAGATTGTATTTATAATTGTGGTTTTAATATATGTAAAATTATGTCTGTTTTTATTAATTTATTTACTGTAATATAATTATTTTTTTGCAAATTACTTATAAGATTTATTTTTCTATGTAAATAAAAGTAGTCTAAGTGGACATGTATTTTTAAATTGAATTGTAATTAAATAGTATATAAAATTATTTTTATTTATACAGTAATTATTAGAATGGTTTTAATAAAAAAAAAAACTATAAATAGTTGACAATTTTATATTTTATAAACTTATAAAGTGTCTTAAAACTAAATTATTGTCTTAACTAAGTCTTAAATTGAGTACAAAATTATTTGTAAACTGAAATTATTATTATATCTTGTACTTTTACAAGTAGAAATCAAGTTATAAGTATAATTTAAATTCAATTAGAAAACTATATTGAAATAACAAAATAAATGACGCCTCGTTTTACATAGCCATGATAGTTTCCTAATACTTTAAAAATTGTACTTTTATTGTTAAAAAAATCAATACGAAAACGTAAATAACACCATCTATTGGGGAGAAACTAGAGCTGTGCGTCTTGTTAAGTTTCAAGCTTACATCAACAGATGGCAGGCTTGTTGACGGCGACGCGACACACCACGCCGCGCAGGTCGTTGACCGCCTGGTCCTGGATCGCCTGATCAAATTTCTAGAAGAAGAATTAAAGTAATTAATGTATTGGATAGAATACAAATGCCTATATTTATTCAGATAATTGGTTATTAAGGGAGTACTAACTGGCTGTGGAAGTTAGATTTAAGTTCCTAATATTATTTAGTTTACGAGATGTTAAAAATATAATTTGTATTCAATTTCTCGGTACAATTTTTTTTTATATGATAAGGTGGCAAACGAGCGAAAATGAGGTCTCCGGGACGCACACTCATCAGAGTGTAGTAGGAATAGCTTCCACTTGACGCCTATCTTCTGTGTGGTCGTGGTATTACACCGGGCGAGCCGGGACAATTCCTGCGAACATGTTGAAGCGGGCTCTACCACTGTTATGTCATGCGTCTTGCTAGGGACGAGCGGAACCGAAGAAATGTAAAGTATATGAAAACAATTTCGACATACTAAGATACTTTTAAATTCAATAAAAACTAGATAATTTCTAGACAGTTCTATTCTCTCGTAAATAAGCAATCCCCTCCCCCATAGATCAAGTCTAAATCATCGGCTGGCATCGCTTTTGTGTGTAAATCTTTATTACACAAATAATCAAACATAACAAAATCATGTTTTGATACAATTTAACTGTCACTCACGACGTCGCCCGCGCGGAATTAAAAAGAAAACTTTATGTGTCTTTCCAGACTATATGCCAAATTTCAGCGTGCTCCATGCAGCAGTTCTGGAGGTACATTCTAACATCCATCCATCCAAACATTCGCATTAAGATGAATCGATAAAAAGCCACATAAATCACAAATAATATGACCTTGAGCTATACTGACCTCATTTATAATAATAGTGGGCACGAAGGATAGAGGGCGTTGCACCAAATCAGTCTTGTCTCCATAGGAGGCGAGTAACGCGTCGCCTTGTTCCCCGCTAGCGCAACGCTTTATCTTGTCAGAGTTATTCGATTTGTTCACTTGACCCAAACACTGAAATAAAATAGAAAACAGTTAAATACGAAGTTCTGTAAACATAGAAAAACTGCGCTTCACTAAAAGTTGGAAGGACAAAACAATTTTTAGTCAAACACTTTTTCTTAAATAACATTACCTACCGTTTTTAAATCTCTGTATAAAACATATCGTCATCTCTGTCATTATCTTTGACAAAACAGAGATAACAATATGTTTTAAACAAAGATTTTGTTTTCAGAATACTTGTGTGCGAAAAAAACGTTAAAATGTGTGTACAATTAAAAAAATTTAAGTGGTATTAAAAAATTTCTCTCTTACTGGCTGTTTTTATTACTTATCACACAATTTAAAAAAAATAATCGTAATAGCCGCCATGTTTGTAATTTGACGTTTAACTTTTACTTTTCTGGTTTTGAATCGAAATGTGCAGAAATCTTACCGTATCAAGAGATTTGTCGGGACTCGCGTTGCCCATCAAACACATCACAAGCTCCATTTTGTCTGTATCCTGTAAACTGCGGTCCTTCAGAATACAAGCTTGTACCTGGAAATAACATGTTTTCAGTTAAATTACACTCCCGAAAACAACAAACTTTTGTTCAAAACTTCGTCTGAGAGGAATAAAAGAACTTAATTAGTAGTCTATGTGTTCTTCCAGACTATGTTCTACATTTATGACAAATTTCAGCGAGATCCATACAGCCGGTCCATAGATACCTTCTAACATACATCCATCTAAATCCATTTACAATATTAGTAAAATAATAAACGAAAAGATAAAAAATGGACATATAAAATACTTCGTAATACTAAAATATTTACTTCCTACAGATCCATATAGATAACTCAAAAATTGACAATTTTTTCCATTCCTTAGCAAATAAGCAATACTTTTTTAATAAAAACAATCCTACCACAACCCCCCCCCCCTCCTTCCCTCTACATCT